AGTCTCCTGCATGGAAAGTGAAATTTCTACTGCTGAATCTCTCAGAATACCTATTGTTGTTATGTGCCATCGAGTTGCCTGCGAATCATAGCGACCCTATGTACAACAGCCCTAAACTTAGCCCTATCCTGTGCCAATTTTATCATCTCTGACACACTTACCCCCATTACCCCAGTCACTGAATCAATCCATCTTATCAAGGGTCTTCCTCTCCTGTGCTGTCCCTCGACCCTCCCAAACATGATGTCCCTCTCCAAAGACTGGTCCCTCCTTGCAACATGTCCAAGTATGTCAGACGAAGCTTCAGAATCTTTGCCTCCAAGGAGCAGCCTGATCTCACTTTCTCCAGGATGAACTTGTTTGTTCTCCTAGTAGTTTATGGTATATCCAGCATCACAGCTCAAAGTTATCTATTCTCCCTTTTTTCTTTCTTTTTTTTAAATCGAGATTTTAATAAAAGTTTATAAAGAACTTGGCTTTCCAATTGTTTAACATTGCACATTTTCCTCCCCAGTTTGCTTTTTTACTTTGGGGAAAAAAAATTCTTTCACTGTTATACAGTCGCCCCACCCTGACCACTTTACTATGAAGCTCTTATTCTGGACTCTTGTCATGCCAACAATACCTAATTATGTATTCCTTTTGTACAGTTCTCTCCCTTGTCTGTTTCAATGCTGTGTAGATTATTTATCCCCTCTTTTCTATTTCCCTCCAGGCCCCATGTCAGTCTCTTTTATAACAGAGGTATTATGCTGTATTTATCTTTTTGTGACAGATATTTCATTCAGCATAATGCCATGCAGGGTCACCTATTTTGTGTAATAATTCATGAGTTCCTTGTTTTTCAATGGAGCACAGTATTCCATTGTGTGAATATACCACAGTTTCTTTATTCATTCATTTGTTGATGGACACTTGGGTTGTTTCCAATTCTTTGCTGTTGTGAACAAAGTCACAATAAACGTGGGTGTGCATGTATCTACTTGGGTGGCAGTTATGATTTCTTTAGGGCATATTCCCAGTAGTGGAATTACTGAGTCAAATGGTATTTCTATTTCCAACTTTTTGAGAAAGAGGCATACTGCCTTCCATAGTGGTTGCACCATTTTACACTCCCACCAATAGTGAATAAGGGCTCCAGTTTCTCTGCAACCTCATCCCTAGTCATTGCCCAGCTATCTGATGCATAGCAATTAATTGCAGAGTATGGCTTAGATCAGATTCATCTTGGTCTCCAGAATGATATTATTGCTCTTCAGTACTTTGGAGAGGTCTCTGACAGCAGACTTTCCCAATGCAATTAATGGTCCTGCTAATTAACATCAAATTTTTGCCGGAGAATGTGGCCATGACTTGAGGCAGATGAGTGGAATTCATAGCTCTTCATCTTGAAGATTGTGGAGACCCCCAACACTGTTCAGGGTTTCACATGAGGTCCATATGCTCTGTTTCCTGAAACACTCATGCTGAGTGACATTCTCAAGCACCATAAACCATTTGTGACATAGTTAATCTTGGCTGTGAATTTGCACAATCTCATGTATGCTAGCTGTTAGTCTCACTCATCCTTTCTCTATAAGAAGGCCTAAGGGAACACAAGTGAATGGAAAGACACAGTATTGTAGGCATAATACCTTGAAGCTTCTTCCATTTAAAAATAAATGTGAACCTTTTAAAACCTGTGGGCATATTGTCAGGGGAGAGGCAGTCCTTGGAGAAATGCATCATTCTGGAAAAGATACTGGTCATCAAAAGAGGGGAAGACCTTCAAGTAGGTGGATTGATAGATAACTGCAACAACGGGCTTGAGTATAGATCAGGATGATGGTGTAGGACAGGACATGGTTCATATCTGCTGTTTATAAAGTCACTGTCAGTCATAGTTGACAGCACCTAAGAACAAGATTTCATACCCTTGAGTACTTTATGATTGTTAACAAATTACTAACAACATACTTCCCAGTAGATACAGTAGTGTGCTAAGCTGAGGCTGAAAACCAGTTGGACTCAGATAGCTTAGGGCTGAGCCTAAAGCCCGTAAGTTGCCCTAGATATGGCACTTATCTCTTTCTTTCCTTCCTTGCTTGGTATATCATAAAGTCCAGTGCGTCAGCTGGTCATTGTCCTTATATAGGCTGCCAGATCTTGAATTGTGTCCCCTCCCCACCAAAAAAATCTATGCTAAAGACCCAATCCCCAGTACCTGTGAATGCTGCCTTGTTTCTAAAAAGTCTTTGAAGATATTATTAGCTAACATGAGGTTATGCCAGAATAGAGTAAGGGAGTATAACTGTTGGGTTTTGGTTTTTTTTTTTATGATAGAGAAGACAGACGGAAGGAAGGAGGAGGACTAGATGGAGTTACAGAATAGCTGCAGGCAAAGGTGTGTCAAGACTCCAAATGACCTGGAAACAAGAAGTACTATTCTTCTAGAGATGTCAGAGAAAGCAGGGCTCTGCTGACCCTGAGTTTAGACTTTTAGTCTTAGAACTATGAAATAATGAGTTTCTGCCATTGAAAACTGCCATTTAAAGTAATATTCAAATCTATCTTCTGTGCTGCAGCAAACCATCAGCTTTGAGGATTAAGGAAACAGCACTGGACAAGGAGTGTTGAACTTAGACGATAGTGACTGAGAAGCATGGCAGAAATCTTCAAAGTTTTGAAGAATTGATATGACAGGACTTGTTCATTTGATCAGGATTCAGAAGGTCAAATTAGCATGTAAGCTCCATTGCTGTGCAGTCAGTTCTAATTCATAGCAACCTCACAGCACAGAGGAGAACTGGAAGGGACCCCACGACTATAAATCCTTATGGAGCAGACACTCTCCTACAGAGTGACAGATGGTTTTAAACACATGCCCTTTCATTAGCAGTGTAGTGTTTGAACCATTGTCTCACCAAGATTCCTCAAATTAGAGTATAAGACTGTTTTATGGAGAGGTAAACCCAAGTTTAATATGATGAAGAACTTTGTAGCGATTAGGACTGGCCAACAGTAGGATATGTGTTCATAACAGCAACGCATCCCTCCCACACCACCACTGTGAGAATTCGAGAATTCAGGCTTAGAGCAGATGACACAAGAACTTTTTATACTTAGATAGATGTCCAGTTGAAAATTTGCTCAAAGAAAGATGATAATAACACTGTGTAACTTAAAATCCCTTGTTTTCTTCTACCTTTGAGATTGCTGTGTAGACTATAGATGTTGTGTAGACATCCTGAATTTACACACCTGCCTTTCCCCTGGGGAGAGAGTACTGGTGTGTTTTGAGTACATGGTGAGTTTGAGTTGCTCTGCTACCCAAAAGGTGAATCTCTCTGGCAGTTTGAATCTACCAGTAGCTCTATGGGAGAAAAATGGATAGTCTCCTTCTGAGTGATTTATAGCCTTGGAAACCCAAAGAAATTAGGCTGAGTTGGTTCGAACTTGACGGTAAAGAGTCAAGATAATGAATTCCCATGGGAAGTAGGGTGTTTCTCAAGCATATCACTGAACTTACCTTCTTCATGTCAGTGGTCAAGATTTCTCCTTTTTTCAGTTGGGGACTAGAAATACTGTGTATCCTTCCAGATTTGACTCATTTTGAGTGTCGAGTTATGTTTTGAAATAAACTTTCTTCATTTTAGTTTGTGTCTGTTTGTGTTTGAATTATGGTTTTGGCAAGGGGAGACATTTGTCTTATTTATTATTTTGATATCGCTTTATACACTGTAGATGCTTTATAGACATCCCCAGTTTACATACCTGCCTTTCCCCTGGGAAGAGAGTTCTGGTGTGGAGTTCTGGAGTTCTGATAATGGGCACATGCATGCCTAGAAGCCACCATATAGCCTTCTTCTCATTCATCTAAAGAGAATTAATGATTGAGTCAGGACCTATTTCAGTATCAGTGATGTCACTAACCTTGGAATTCCTATAGTAAAACACATAGGACTATATCATATATTGTACATATTATGTTTCATGTGTCATCCTATTTTGAAAATATATTATTTTTTCTTCTGTTGAAGAAAAAGACATCATATTTCAACAATGCGGATGGCACGTTACAAAATATGTCCCCTCAGTGGTGGCTCAATGGTAGAACTCTTGTCTTTGATGTGGAAGACCGAGGTTTAATTCCCAGCCAACACACCATTTGTCTTTCAATAGACACATGTGTTGCTGAGCTTCCAGATTGAAATGGATTAGGAAGAAAGGCCTGGATCTTCATCTCTAAAATCAGCTTGTTGAAAACTATATGAACCATAAAGGTACAATTCACAACCGATCATGTATGCAGATGTCACAGGTCCTGGTAATACTTCATTAAATAGTAATCAACAATAAATCAACAAAATCACCCCACAACACAGTACCAATGACTTGTAACATCAACAAGAGGTTTATGAGTAATTTAGACCTATTCAATTGGCCTACAAGAATTCCTGGGTTCCTTAAGTCTTTTCTTTGAAATGTTCCAGGAACTTCTTATTATGCCCTACCTTAGTGTTCATCATACTTCACATTGTTGTTAGATGATGAATATGATCCATAGTGACCTATGAACAACTGAGCTGAACCTATCCTGTCCTATCCAGATACTTTCTGGAATGCTTGAGCTCATTGTTACAGTCACTGTGTAAATCTGTCTAACTGAGGATCTTCCTCTCTGTGTCTACAATTTAACTATTTCTCTGGTAACTTGTCCCTAACACATAGTAGTCTGAATGTCTTAAGCATAGCAGCAATTAATTTGTTCTTGCTGGATTGAAGAGTATATATGCAAAGGAGAATTGTGTCTTTCACATTGTAGTCACCTGAGAGAGCAATTGTTAACAGCAGCAGGGAGACCTTTGGAAGTCCAAGCCCCTCATTTTGAAAAGTGGGAATTTGAAGCTTAGGAAGACCTATATGGATTCACTGAACCTGTCTTCCAACCCAGGTCTCTCCACAGCCTTTCTGCTGTGTCTCAGCCCAGTCACATGCCTTCTTTTCTCCCTCTGTTCCAGCCTTGTTAACTTCGTGTGCCACACCTGCTTCAAGAGGCAGGAAAAGCTCCACCACTGTGGACAGTGCAAGTTTGCCCATTACTGTGACCGCACCTGTCAGAAGGACGCTTGGATGAACCACAAGAATGAGTGCTCAGCCATCAAGAGATATGGCAAGGTGCCCAATGAGAATATCAGGTCAGAGTGGATATGGGTGGGGCTTCAGGTCCCCAGGTGTTAGGCTGAGATGGTGGTGGTAAAATGTAAAAATGTCCCCAGACATAGGAAATAGGTTTGTGGGTTGAGTGCATTTAAAGATAGAGCCTCCAAAAGACTGAATGCACCACTTCCTTCACTCAGCTCTTGGGTCTGGTGCCCAGGTGGGAGGCCTGGGTCTGAAGCTGCCAGCTGACTCTTTTTGTACGACAGCCCATGTTTACTTTTCTTTGCAAATTTATCTCCTAATGTTAAACATTGGGGATGTTTATATTTCTATTTTTCTTTTAAAATTTATTTCCCAATGATTAACATTGGGGAATTTGACAAAATTAATATCAAGATTTCTGACTTTTCTTGGGGGAAAAAATTAGAAGATATGGCAAAATAAACAGGAGTTGAATAGCATTTCCTCCCCAAACCTGCACCCTTTCCAAAACCAAAAACAACAAAACAAGATGAAGCTTCAAATCACCCAATCTTACTATTCTCTGTGGTGGTAAATATTTTTATATATAAATTTAAAAATAAAATAAAATATATACTGTATTAAGAATGCACCACTTCACATGCATTATACTTGAAAGAAATTGAGTTTGTGTTAACTAGTGTCTTCTCTGTTGTACATGTTGGACGGCTAACAAACATGTTGGTAGTTAAAACCTACCAACCACTCTGAGGTAGAAAAATGTGATGGTGTTGTGTTTTTCGGTGTTGTCGACTACAATTCATAGCCACCCTATGAATGATAGATCTGAGCTTTGCTCTATTCTGCATTATACTCATAATCTCCACCATGTCCAACCTTATTGTTGCAGTCACAGTGTCAATCCATCTGAGTGTCTTCCTCTTTCTGACTCTCAACTTTTTCCAGTGTAATATCTTTTTTTACGGATTGACCCTCCTGATAACATACCAAAAGTATGTGAGATGAAGTTTTACCATCTTCGTCTCTATGCAGCACACTGACTGCACTTACACAAGACAGATATGTTTGTTCTTTTGATAGTCTGTGGTATATCCCAAACCCTTGCCAACACTACAATTCAAAGGCATGGATTCTTTTGTCTTCCCTATTCATTGTACTAACTTCCAGATGCATAGGAAGCAATTGAAAAATACCATGGCTTGGATCAGATACATCTTAGCCTTTAAACTGATATCCTTGCTCTATAACACTTCGGAGAAATTCTTGGCAGCAGATTTCTCCAATGTAACATGTCTTTTAATTTCTTGACTGCTGTTACCCTGGGTGTCTATTGTGGATCTCAGTAAAATTAAATCCTTGACAACTTCAGTTTTTTCTGTATCTATTATGATATTGTCTCTTGGTCCATTGGTAAAAAATTTTATATTCTTGATAATGAGATGTAACCTATACTGAAAGCTATAGTCTTTAATCTTCTTCATTAAATGCTCCAATTTCTGCAAACTGGATTGTGTCATATACATAACATAGGTTGGTGCTTATTTTTCTACAATTATGATGCTAGATGTTTCTTCATACAGTCCAACATCTTGAATGATTTGCTCAGCATACAGATTGAATAGATGTCTTCTCCTGTAAAGACTTACAGCCTCAGAAGCTTGTGGAGGATGGCTTCAAGTTGAAATTAACCCAATGGCCATGGGTGTGGTTTTGCTTTTGGAGCTCTTCTAGGGATCATTGCCAGAAGTATTGGGGTCATGCCCTTGAGGAACCCCATTTCAAGAATTCAGAAATATTGGGGACTTTGCTATAGACTTGGCAGGATTCCAGGTCAGTTCTAATGATGCCAACAGTGAGGAGGCAGAGGAAATGGGGACTGTATGTGTAGGGGTGAATTATATGATGTAATTCTCATGTCTTGGTCAATTTTACTTAAGTGACTGAATTAACTCCTCTAATTTCCCTTAATTCCATCAGTTGAAGTCCTGTTTATTCCTAAGTGCTCAAAGTTAATATCACCACCTGTGACTGGACTCTCTCTCTGAACTGTTTCAGTTGGTAGCTCTACTGCTAAGTTGATATATGCCACCATAAATATGTGAGATGAAGTTTCACCATCCTTGTCCCTTAAGGAGCACATTGGTTGCTCTTCCTCCAAGACAGACTTGTTTGTTCTTTTGGCAGTCCATGGTATATTCAGTACTCTTTGTCAAACATTATAATCCAAAGACATATTATTTGGTCAATAATCCAAATTATTATTAGTATTTCTTGTTGCCAATCCCAATCATTAGTAATATGAATAATTTCACCCATAATTCAACTTCTATTATTTATCATGATCATCGACATTAATCTGGAGCCTAGCATGGTGGAGAACATTATTTCCACTTTACCAGATCTATTCAGGGAGGTCAAGTGATTTGCCTAAGGTCACACAGTGAGTAGTAGAAACAGACTCAAAATCAAAGCCATAAATTCCTAATCCAGTGCTCATCCTGGTTAATCACACTCTAAGGAAATAGGCTGGATGCTCCTCCTCACTGTGTTTCCAGGCTCCTTCCATCAACCCCATGTGACCTGGCCCCAGCACATTCCTCCATATTTCTCTCTGCTCATTGTCCCTTATGCTCTAGTCACCATGATCTTGCTGCTATTTTCCATTGTGACAAGTTTATTCTTTCATCTGTGATTTCATGCTCAGTGCTCTTTCCTCATGAAAGGCTTTTTTCCCATATGCAAAGAATTAATTGGTACTTTCTGTTCATCCAGGGTCAGCTCAAATGTACTTCCTCTGAGCAGTTCCCTGAGATCACCTTAGTTATCCCCCACATACCCCAGTCCATCCATTTTAAATCATACTATCGTTTGCCATTGTTTTGATTCCAACTCAACACAACCTCATGTGTGTCAGAGTAGAGATGTGCTCCATTTATTTTTTTTCAAGAATTGATTTTTGAAAAGTAGATCACCACACCTTTTTCCTCCCTGTGGCATCTCTGAGTAGACTCAAACTTCCAACCTTTAGGCTAGCAGCAGAGCACATTTGTACCTCCCAGAGTGCAACAACTGAAATGTTGGAGACATCTGGAAGTACAGTGGAAAAAAGACTTGGTGACACACTTCCAGAAAACCAGTCTGGTGGATACCAGTTCAACTTTAACACACAGGATCACCAAAATCCAGAAGTGACTTAATGGCAACCAGTTATTTTACTTTATATTTTGGTTTCCATTTATTCTGATTTATTTATAAAGTTTTAATGCATTGCTTTTCACAAAAGATCTTTCCCATTTCCTTCGCCCCACCCCCCCATCAAATTGTGCAACCCTATGATTAACACTCTACACCCCATTCTCACCCCTATATTCCTTCCCCTCCCCCCCTTGGATCCTCATACTCATTGTACAATAATGCTTTTATACAGTATTTGTCCTTGTGGTACTGAGTTTGTTCACTTAGTATAATGCTTTCCAGTTCCTTCCAGGTTGGGTAATAATTTACAAAATCATTATCTTGCATAGTATTCCACTGTATGAATGTACTACACCTTCTCAATCTATTCGTTTGTGGTTGGATATCTGGGCTGTTTCCATGTTCTTGTGATGGTGAATAATGCTGCTATGAATATTGGTGTACACATTTCCATTTGAACTTCAGTTCATTTTCTTGGGATATATTCCAAGCAATGGACTAGCTGGGTCACATGGAATTTCTACGTTTAGCTTTTTGAGGAAGCACCAAACTGCTTTCCAGAGTGATTGTACCATTGTATAATCCCACCAACCAATGTAAAAGAGTTCCTATCTCACCACATCCTCTCCAACATTTATTTTACTTTATTTTATGTTCTGTGTCATACTTAAGAATAGTTAAAATTATCTTGTTTACTTGTGTCTCCCCTACCATCAGAAGCTTCGTGAGTAAAGGAATTCTGTGTGTCTAGTTTAAAACAGGGAACTCTAGTGGCCTGGTATTTAAGGAGATGCAATGCTAGCCCAAAGGCCACATTTTCCTTGTGGTTTGAATCCACAGATGGCTCTTCAGGAGAAAGATGGGAAACCTCTCCTTTGTGATTTATAATCTCAGGAACCTGCTGGAGAGTTGGCTATGAGTTATTTCTAGCTCCACAGCAATGAGTTCAGTTGTTGAGTTCAGAACTGTATCTTGTGTAATACTCCATGCCTGGTATGTCACTGTTTGTACCTGATCCAGTTCATGGACCATTGTCCAATAAGGGTGACAGAAGAAGAATCAATGCGCTTGTACTGTGATTTTGGAGAAGAGTACTGAATGGACTGCCAATAAAACAAGCATTCTGTCTTGGAAAAAGTGTAGTCAGGGTGCTTCTTAAAGGCTAGGATGGTGAAACTTTGTCTCACTTTCTTCAGTCATATTTTCATGAGTGGCCAGTCCTTGGAAAAGGCATCATACTGGGAAAGGTGGAGTGTCAGAGGAAGAAAGAAAGAACTTCAAGAAGATGACTTTACACAGTAGCTGTAACAATGGGCTTGAGGGTAGAGAAGATGGTACAAGATAGGACAAGGTTTGGTTCTGTTGTGCATAAGGTTGCTATGATTTGTAGTTGAAATAGTGACACCTAACAACAACTGTTTGTGAATGAGTGGCTGGTGTGCCATCATGTCCCCTATGCTGCTCTCCCTAGGCTGGCCGCAAGGATCATGTGGCGGTTGGAGAGAGAGGGCACTGGCCTCACGGAAGGCTGCCTGGTGGCAGTGGATGACTTACAGAACCATGTGGAGCACTTCAGCAAGGAGGAGCAGAAGGCATTGCAGGGTGATGTGGACACTTTCCTGGCCTACTGGCCTCCTCAGGGCCAGCAGTTCAGCACACAGTATATGTCACACATCTTTGGAGTGGTAAGTTCCCTGATAGCTTCATCACTTCCAGTATCCTTTTCCTCCCCCTTCCATTGATCTTTCTCCTTCTTGACTCCCCCTTTGGGAAAATGGGTCTTCTCGGAGAACAGCACTGAGGCATCACCTCAGCCACGGACTTCTACCCATAAAGCCAGAAGACACTCTGAGAAAGTCCATGGTACATTTATTAGATGGAGCAAAAATAGCTGCTTCCCTTTCTTCTTACGGGCTTAGGGATAGGCCTCTAAAACAACCCAGTAAAACAGATTCAGATACTAGAGAATACAATTCCTCATAAGGAATGAGAAGACATGGATCACCTGAGGAGTTTCTAGATACTGCCAGGGATGGTGGAAAGGGCCAGCCACAAGCTACTGGAGGGCACAGGATCCTGGTCTTTTTCTTTTGGCCTTATGGCCTGTCAGAAGATAGCATCCAACACACACATTATCTCTGAATTCGAGGTTTAGGAGGCAACTTAACTTCCTCCCTAGCGACATCTTCCCTCCTTGGAAATAAAAACTAGCCACCTCCCCTTCTTACCCACCATGCACTTGAGAAAGGAGACCCTCATTTTCCCAGGACTAATTGGCAGGGTTACCAGGGATCCTGGAGTAGTGGGAGATGTGGGAGAGGAGTGTCAAGAAGTTGTGGTGAATGCTGTAAGAGTTGAGGAGCTCTGGATGCTTACAACATTGCAATTTGGAGATAAATGTTAGTTTCTTTTTTTTTAAAAAAAAATTATATTTGAAAAAAAAATTATATTTGGATTTATTTTATTCTCAGCCAACTCAGCACTGTGGGCCAGAAAGCTCAGGCCACGGGTCATTAGGGTCTTTGATCTGGCAGAGCAATCCCTTGCTGTGGTGTGGTTAGCAGACCAAGAGAAAGACTATCCTAATAGCAGTGGGATCATACTCAAGATCTCTGAGTTCTCTGCATGTGCCAGTTCCTATATATTATGCTGACTTTTCAGTGGCATAGTTTCTCGTTTTATAGGATGGGTAATTGAGGCCATGGGCAGTGATAAGACCTCTAATGTCACACAATCAGCTGATATCCAAGAAAGAGCTAGAATCAGTTGGTCTGATACTAGAGCCTGTAATCCTAACAGTCATATCCTGCAGTCTTCTACTGAATCACTGTAACAGTTCAATGTTGGGTATCTTGCAAGGGCCTGGAGACTAGAATTATATAGGATTCTATAATCATCAATGTTTAGACCTGGTGATCAGAAACAATCACATCCAATTGTCTGACTTACAGATGGGACAATTGGGGTCCAGAGAAGAAGGAACTTTGATCAAGGTAACAAAGATTGTTAGTGGGATTGCCAGTCATAAAGTCGTACACTTGCTAAATATCTGATGAAAATGAATGTAGAAAACTGACCCTCTCCAAATATGTATTTAGGTGAATAATTCTATATATTTATCTCTATATGCATAGTCTAAATTTGTAGGCAGTTACTAGTTTATAGAATGGGAAACTGAGGCCCTGGGCAGTAACAAGACCTCCAATGTCACACAATCAGCTGATATCCCGAGGATATTCTGAATTATTTTTATTCTTATTTCCCCCTTCATTATCTTACAGCAGAGATTTTGAGCCAATTTTGAAAAAGAACAACTTATTCCTAAGAAAAAGGAAATCAGTGGAGTGACACATCCATTTAGATTTTCTTGCAATTTGGAGATAAGTGTTTGCTTCTTATTTAAAAAACAAGTTATATTTGGACTTATTTTATTCTCAGCCAACTTTTTTCAAACAGACATTATCTCAAATGCCTTTGAACACAATGTTTTCTGTCAGCCTCAAAGACCACAAACAATCATAGCTAACAATCACTCATTCATCCTCAGCACTCATGAGAATGAATTTACCTCAGCACCTCTCCTGGGCAGCTCTGTTTCTTGGCTTTGCACAAGATTTGATAGATCCAGACATTATCTTAACTGCACTATGAAGAAACAAGTTGGGCTGGGCTTGGTATTCAAGCACCCATATTTTCTTTTAAAAGACAAGGAGTCAAAGTGTAAAGCTGCTAAGTATTTGGCAGAGCTTAAACCAAGATGTTTGTGTTCTGGCTCCTAGTCCACTGTTCAGATCAGCTTAATCTAATGTTAGAGGCACAGGTAAAGTGCATCTAGAGGACTCTGTGATCACTCACCCTAGGCATGCTGGCCTAACATCTAGCTGGGCAGGGCTGGACAAGGGAACGCCATCTTGGAAAGATCATCATGTTCCAAGGTGTGTGAATGTTCGCTTCTGCACTTATAAAAAACCACTATGGAAGTTGCAAAAAGTTGCAAATAGAAATACCATCTGACCCAGCAATTCCACTACTGAGAATATACCCTAAAAAACCATAACTGCCACCCAACTAGATATATGCACACCCATGTTTATTGCTACTTTGTTCACAATAGCAAAGAATTGGAAACAACCCAAGTGCTCATCAACAAATGAATGGATAGAGAAACTGTGGTATATACACACAATGGAATACTATGCTGCATTGAAAAACAAACACTCATTAAATATCACACAACATGAGTGACCCTGGAGGACATTATTCTGAGTGAAATATCTCAGTCACAATACTGCATAGTGCCACTGTTGTAAGAAAAGAAGGGATAAATAATGTATACTGCAATGAAAAAGATGAGGGCGAGAAACTGCTTAAAAGGAATATAGGTTTAGGTATTATTTTCATGACAAGATTACAGAAAAAGAAATGCATAGTAAAGTGGACTGTGGACTTGGGAAGGGATTGTATCATAATGAAAATTTTTTTTCTTTTCAAAGAGAAAAATAAACTGGGGAGGGGTGGGAAGGGAGGAAAATATGCAACAATGAATGGGGGAAAATTAAATGGAAAGAATATGCTGTAAAATATATATGCTACATTAAAAAAAAGTCATTAATTTAAAAAGTAAAAACTCCAACCAAGTAGATTTAGATTCCTGGC